TTCAGAAGGCGTCGGGCCCAACGCCGAATTATGAGGAAAAGTGATGGCTTCTTGCTCTGAACAGGGGGATGCGCTTTGGGGGCCTCTCCAGGGAAGACGTTGTGAGGATGTCTCGAGCGGGAGCGCGAATTCAGCGTATCCAAGTCACGCAGAGGGGTATCTAACATGGCTGTCCCGAGCTGGAACCACGTGTTTTTTCATGCTCAGGCCACCCAGGGAGATCTCTAACATGATTGTCCCGAGCTGGAACCACGTGTTTTACGTGTCCAGGCCACCCAGGGGGTATCTCTCATGGTTGTCCCGAGCTGGCACCGTGTTTTTACGTGTCCAGGCCACCGACACGACGCTTGTCCCCAGCACGTTCTGGAGCGCGTCCCCTTGGCACGTCTCGCGGTGCGTCCCCGTGGCACGTCCCCTGGCACGTCGCCTGGCGCGTCCCTTGGAACGTTCCGCGGCGCGTCTTCCTGGCATGTTTCCTTGTCAATTAGCTCTGCGGCAGCTACTGCGTGGACTATGTGCTCAGGCAGCTTGAGCTTAAGATCCAGATCAGTTCGGCCAGGACTCGGATGCAACGGAGGACTCGATCCACAACGCGGTAGAGCACAATCGCGGCATGGCACATCGCAGTTCAGCACGGCGCAGCACAGCACAGCCCTCGGCACATTACATCAAGATCGGTACACTCACTCAGCATTGCAACTTGGCACGTTCTTTGGCACGTTCCGTGGCGCGTCCTGTGGCGAGTCCCCCTGGCACGTCGCGCGGCGCGTCCCCTGGCACGTCCCGTGGCACGTCCATAATGCATTGGCACGTTCCGTAGCGCGTCCCCTTGGCACGTCCCGCGGTGCGTCCCCATGGCACGTCCCCTGGCACGTCGCCTGGCGCGTCCCTTGGAACTTTCGGCGGCGCGTCTTCCTAGCATGCCCCCCGTGAATTAGCTCTGGGGCAGCTACTATGTGCTCAGGCAGCTCGAGCTTAAGATCCAGATCAGTTCGCTCAGGACTCGGATGCAAAGGAGGATTCGATCCACAACTCTATAGAGCACAATCGTCACGTGGCACATCGCAGTTCAGCACGGCGCAGCACAGCACAGCCCGCGGCACGGTACATCAAGATCGATACACTCACTCAGCATTGCAACTTGGCACGTTCTTTGGCACGTTCCGTGGCGCGTCCTGTGGCGAGTCCCCCTGGCACGTCGCGCGGCGCGTCCCCTGGCACGTCCCGTGGCACGTCCATTGGCACGTTCCGTAGCGCGTCCCCTTGGCACGTCCCGCGGTGCGTCCCCGTGGCACGTCCCCTGGCACCTCGCTTGGTGCGTCTCTTGGCACGTCCCGTGGCACGTCCATTGGCACATTCCGTAGCGCGTCCCCTTGGCACGTCCCGCGGTGCGTCCCCATGGCACGTCCCCTGGCACGTCGCCTGGCGCGTCCCTTGGGACGTTCTGCGGCGCGTCCTCCTGGCATGTTCCCTTGTCAATCAACTCTGGGGCAGCTACTAGTTATGTGCTTAGGCAGCTCGAGCTTAAGATCCAGATCAGTTCGGTCAGGACTCGGATGCAAAGGAGGACTCGATCCACAGCGCTATAGAGCACACTCGTGGCATGGCACATCGCAATTCAGCACGGCACAGCACAGCACAGCCCTCGGCACGGTACATCAAGGTCGATACACTAAGCATTGCATTTGCCCGTCGCCCAATCAGGTGTCTTTGAAACGTTGTCATGTCTTACATTTCTATATTCCTTTCCGGGTTCGTGGGTCGATCATGTTGCGGTCCCCGGATCGGGGCACGTCGGTTGCTTCATTTGTTTTCCCCGAGTTTTTCATTTCCGGTATCCTTGATTTGTTTCCCGGCGCTGCGCAATCAAGTTCACCCCGCGCCAGCAGGCGGGGTGGCGGACCTTGTGTCCCAGGTGAGGATGCCCTGAAGCGCGTCTTTCAGGACTTCTGGCTGTATGTGCTTTGGAAGCTGTGCGACGCGCACCAAGGACAGGTGCTGCGGCTAGACGTGGGCGGGGTGCGTGTAGACTTTCATGCTAAAGGTGCCCTTCGAGTTCGGCGATCCACGGATATTCAGACGACTGACGGGAGACGTATTCTAAGACGTCGCATTGTGGGCAAGGCGTTGTTAGGCGTCTTAAGGCCGAGGGGAGCGCGTGCGACTGTGGCGAGAGGAGGACGCGCCATCCACCCGACAGCTCGCCGGTTCGGTGTTCGCAGATATTCGACGCGCCCACGTGAGCGCCCCTGGTTGCGGGCAGCCTGCGTGGGTGAGCATGGACTCGTATCGATCGTGCCGGCATCTGTGGATGACTGAATTCTTCACGTTTCGCGTATCCCCACCAGGCGCCCTGCAGCTAATTAGGTCTGTTTCCGTGCCCCGGACAGCTTCTGTTGCCGCCTGCGCTCTTCGCTCGCGGCCGCGACCGAAACAAAGTATCCCCGCCAGTAATTGGCAGGCCGCAGGCAAGCGTGGCGGCGACGATAGCAGTGGCGGGAGAGGGGACAAGCACTCCCGTACATGGCGATGATGCCCCACCCCATGCGCACCGTTGGGTCCCGCCGCGCCGCATCGTGATCACGGGCGCGTCGATGGCACTGCGTTGGCTCTGCCGCCGGCTACCCAGCCGAACCTGCCCCGACGCACCTGACCAGACGCCGACCTGACGCCCCAGAGGGCAGCCGTCCGCAGCTATCCTCTCCAGATGTGCAGACCTCAGGCCTGCCGGGCTCGCCGCGGCTGTGCCTTCGATTCTCCAGTTAAAATAGGGCCCGTTAGGCCAGGAAGGAACGCGGTTCGATATCATCGCTATCGCCTAAAGTGGGGGCCGTTAGGCCAAAGGTTTCGATGCCTCGTTCGTACAGCGCGCAGCGGTCGCTTGCCACCCCTGGTTTGGACCTCCGACCCGTGTATGTTCAGGGCTTGGACGGCGGCCCCCGCTTGCTGTGGCCGACGTCCGACTTGCAGGCGGTGCTCCCTGGTGCCACTCCCTGCCCGGCCCCCGTTGCTCCCGGCCCTCGGGACAGGGACAGCGGACTGCTGACAATGCTGACTCGTGGGTTTCCGCCGGGTCCGTGGTCCACCTGTCCCCCCCCTCCTTTGTTTCGCCCTAAGACGCGTCTGCTGCAGTCCCTGCCGTGGCCGCCGCTCGACTTGCAGGCAGTGCTCGTTCCCTGGTGCCTCTCCCTGCCCAGCCCCCACTGCTCCCCGCCCTCGGGAACATGAGCAGTGGCACGCTGACAGTACTGACTCGTGGGCTACCGCTGGGGCCGTGGTCCACCTGTCCCTTATCGGCCTCCGGCCTGCTTTAGTTGTTTTCACCCCTGGCGCGTCCCTTCCCCGCGCTTCGGGCGGCCCGTCGGGTCGGGGTGTCCCCCCCCTCGGCTTGGCCCCCGCTCTCCCCGTCGGTCGGTGGTGTCGTCCCCCACAGTACTGGCTTCCCGCTTTTCCGCCCAAGTCGCGGTTTCTCTTCCCTCCACGGGGCCGACGGCCGTCTGTGACACAGCTCAGACTTCCGTGCCCCTGCCACGCTGCGGTCGCAACCTTGGGTTCAGTCCCGGGTCTTCCCCGTGGTGCCGTTGCTCGCCTGTCGCCACCTTCGGTGTGCTGACTTCGGGCTCGTGACCCTCTTCAGGGCTCGTGGTGTGCGCCTATCCTGGCGCCACTTCATGCACTTGTCCGTGGTGACCCGCGCCATTTTGGCCGCGCGGCAGCTTTGCTGCTTCTCGTACTCGTGCGTTCTGCTGCCGTGGGGCTTTGCGGCTTCGGCCACCCTGGGTTCTCGCAGCCTGCCAACGCTCACGCCCACCCCGGCATCAATTCGACCTTGACCGTCGGTCCTCCCGGCTGCTGCCACCCTGGTACTCTCGCAGTTGTCCGGGGTTCGCGCCCATGCATGAATCATTCGGCTTCTGCCCCTGGTCGTCGTTCTTCCCGACTACCTGGTGATTCCGACGCCATGCATACCTGCACGCTGGCAGTACGACTCAGTTTCAGTTGCCCACTCCACTCGCCGGTCCGCCGCCGAGGTGCTGCGCGAGGCCCCGCTTAGCCGCTTTGGGTGAGGCCGCCCTCCGTTGCTTTAGGTGAATTTGTCGTTGCGTGCCCCGCTTTGACTGGACTCGCCGCCGGCGCGCTCCCCCGCGGCCGCTGACTAAAAGTATCCCCGCCAGCCCTAACAAGAACAAGCCAAATGCGGGACGAGTTGCCTTCATGCAGGGTGCGCGGCCTCATGCAGTCCAGGAAGTAACCGCATCCGTTTTGCCACCTATGTGTCCACATTGCTCCCGCGTTCTGCGCCCCCAGTATCGGACGCGTGCGCGCCACGTGCTTGACGAAATGTGGACACATAGGGAGGCAGGAAGAGAGGGAGGAGCACGAACAGCAGGAGGAGGAGCAGGAGGAGACATTGGATGAGCAGGATAGGCGGGGGAAGATGAAGAGCAGTATGCAGAAAACTATGGGGGAGGAAGACCACGACGATGAGGGCGAAGGCGACGCCGACGACGACGACGATGCCTGTCGGCGTTACCTTGGAGGCTCCTTGGGCTCTCTGGGGCCCCTCTTGGGGCATTTCTGTGGTCTCTTGGGGACCTCGGGGGGGGCCTCTCGGACATTTCTTCGGAGCACTGGCGGGCTTCATGGGGCTATCTTGGGCGTTATCCCTTTTAATGTCTAAAACGACGGGTGACCAATGACGGCCTTTTCCATCGGGGGTGCCACAAGGAGCCTCCTGGGGCTCCCTCCTGGGTTGCTTTCGGGGTGGTATTCGAAGTTTTCTTGGGCCAGTTCGGGGCTCTCCTGAGCCCCTCTTGGGGCCATCCTGGACTATCTTGGAGTCATGGCGAGGGTAGAAAAGCGAATCGGACGCGAAACAGCGAGAAGAAAACAATCTGGCAATATATACAGGTTTCAAAGATTTGGGCCTCTTGAGGGCTCCATGGGGGGCTCGGCAGTCAGTTGGAGCCGTCCTGTTGTGATCTTTAATGCTCTTGGAGTAATGTTGGAATCGATAGTTAACCATCCTGGGCTACCTCCTGCGATCTTGGTCGCCCCCACCCCTCGCGGAACGCCCCCTCCAGACTCAGAGGGCAGGGTGTAGAGGGAGGTGGTCTTCATGTTCCGAAGGGGATGGGAGGGGGCTCAGCAGAAGGAGCTGGTTAGACCACCCATGCCTTAAAAGGGATGGTGGGATAGAGGACCGCGTGGCCGCGGGTCGCGCTCCGAGGCAGGAGAGATGGACCCGGCGACGGGGCCTTGACACGGGCTTCTGCGCGGTCATTGGCGACGGGCGCTGGATGCGTGCCGTGCGGAACAGCCAGGACCGGGGACCCCCGGCATAAGACCATTCATTTCGACAAGCGTTGTGGTCGCCATGCGCCTGATTACAGTGGCGCCCATCACGATCACGGTTTGATGATGCACCGGTGCGGCGGGGCCCCCCCCCGATGTGCAGGCTGCGAAGCAGCCGCGCGAGGGGCCACCTTCTCGAACCTCGGCTGACGAAGCCTGTCCAGACACTGTTGGCGAGACTACAGTCGGGGCGCTGGAGAAGGAACCCTTCTCGTTGGGGAGAGGCTCCGTGTTCCTCGATTGCTTCGCAGCCTGTCTTAGGTGTCCCTGAGGTTTTCGATGGGGAGTCGGACTTGACCCGATGGGAAAAAGGGGGCCTCGCTCCTGATCTAAGGGCTCCTCAGGTCAACGTCCCGACTGTACTGCGGTGCACGCTTCGAGAGATCTCGCCGCTGGGTCAGCAGACGGCGCCGTGGCGGAGCTGCGCGCTCTCCCCGGGGAGGCCCTGCGCGGCGCCTCGCCCACATTTTCGGCTCGTTGCCCACGGCGCACATCTCCGCCCTGCGGCGTGCTCGGCAAGGGTCCGCGGAGCGGCCGCACCCGCGTCCTCTGCACGCCGCGCCGGAGCCTCGGGGCTACGGCGCTGGCGGGGAGGCTGGGGCGCACTTCGACCAGGAGGGCTCGAGGTCTCGGACCCGGTATTCCACTGACCACGCGCCGATAGAATCTGACCGGAGGCCGCGCAGCAGAGGCTTCGAGGAAGGCGGGCCTTTGCTGGTGAATCCAGCATCGGCAGCCCTTCTGATGACAGATTCCGGGGCTTCTGACTTGGACATGCTGTCGAACGACATTGTTTACGAGAGTTTGGAGAATTGGGCTTGGGCTTCTGGTGTTTGCCTGAGCGCCAGATTCGAAGTGTCCAGCGGTGCTCTCTGTGTCGAGGCCATGTGGGGGTTCTTCGTGAAAATGTTGTGGGCGCCTAATGCTTCAACTGTGACGGAAGAAACGTTTGAGCTTCTATCGTGCATTCGTTCAATCGCTTCGCTCGCCCCGCCGGTCCAGACTCAAGCCTCGTTGGCACTGGCGGGCGGGCTCGCTGTGGCATTGCGGGGGTCTTGGGGGCTTCCTGGGCGCCTGAGGCTTCTTGGGGGCCTCGGGGGTCCATCTGGGAGTTTCCTGGGGTCTCCTGGGGACCTTCGGGCCGAGGCCTCCGAATGTCGTTTCGTGGTTCTGCTCAGGGGCCTCTCTTGAGGCGTTCACGGGACTCTGTAGGCCCGTCGTGGAGACCTTGTGGAGCTCTCTTCGGCCGTTGTGGGGCTCCCCTGGGGGCCTTTCGAGCCGTCTTCGGGCGATCTTGGAGGCCTCTAAGGGCGCTTTGAGCATCGGGGAGCCAAAATGATGATGACGCCAAATCCCCATAACATCAAATAGATAAATGTGTATGTGTCTTTTATTGGAGCCTTGTGGCCAGTGCCTCTGGAGGCCTTTTGGGTTGTCTGGGGGCAGTCTTGGACGTCTTGGAACGATCATAATTATGGTCGGGACCTGGCGGGTTGCTGGTCGGGGTACTTTCTGGTCGGGAGCCGCCAGGCGCGGCTCCGCACGCGCCAAACATAATGATTGAATCCAGCCGCGGGAAGTCTTAGCATGCCTGAGGCCTGTTGGGCCGGCGATTTTTCCCGGAAAGGGCATAAGCCCAGGGTTCTCTTTCAGTTGGTTTACCTCCGGGTTTGACTTGAGGTGGGCCGGCGAATTTCTTTTGCGATAAATATCGAGGTCGAGGTGGGCCAGCGAAATTATGTTTGAGCATGTCTCGAGCGAAACGCTCGTTTTTCAGAATTTGTTGAGGATGTGTCGAGCGAAACTCTTGTTTTGTGTTATATATTGCCCTCTCCTGGGGACCTGAATTCTGAGGATCTCTCAAGTGAAATGCTTGCTCTCACGTGCCCAGGTCTTGAGGATGTCTCGAGCGAGACGCTTGGTTTCACGCCTCCAGGTTGCCCAGACAGATGTCTAGCATGAGGATTTGTTGAGGATGTCTCGAACCAGAGGCTTGTTTTCACGTGTCCAGGTCGTCCAGGCGGATGTCTAGCATGAGGATGTGTCGAGGAAGTCTCGATCGAGACGCTTGTTTGCACGTGTCCAGCTTGCCCAGGCGGATGTCTAGCATGAGGATGTGCTGAGAACGTCTGGAGCGAAACGCCTGTTTTCACGTGTCCAGGTCGCCCAGGCACAGCACAGCCCTCGGCACGGTACACCAATATCGATACCCTTAGCATTGGAGCCTGGCATGTTGCCTGGCACGTTCCGCGGAGCGTCCCGTGGCGAGTCCCCCTGGCACATCGCGCGGTGCACGTCCATTGGCACGTTCCGTAGCGCGTCCCCTTGGCACGTCCCGCGGTGCGTGCCCATGGCACGTCCCTTGGCACGTCGCCGGGCGCGTCCCTTGGGACGTTCCGCGGCGCGTCCTCCTGGCATGTCCCCTCTGTCGATTCGTTCTGGGACCGCTACCATCTGCTCAGGCAGCTCGAGCTTAAGATCCAGATCAGTCCGGTCAGGACTCGGATGCCAGGGAGGACTCGATCCACAACGCTACATAGAGCACAATCGCGGCATGGCACATCGCAGTTCAGCACGGCGTAGCACATCACAGCCCTCGGCATGGTACATCAAGATCGATACACTCAACATTGCACCTTGGCACGTTCCTTGGCGCGTTCCGTGGCGAGTCCACTTGGCACGTCGCGCGGCGCGTCCCGTGGCACGTCCCGCGGCACGTCCATTGGCACGTTCCGTAGCGCGTCCCCTTGGCACGTCCCGCGGTGCGTGCCCATGGCACGTCCCTTGGCACGTCGCCGGGCGCGTCCCTTGGGACGTTCCGCGGCGCGTCCTCCTGGCATGTCCCCTCTGTCGATTCGTTCTGGGACCGCTACCATCTGCTCAGGCAGCTCGAGCTTAAGATCCAGATCAGTCCGGTCAGGACTCGGATGCCAGGGAGGACTCGATCCACAACGCTACATAGAGCACAATCGCGGCATGGCACATCGCAGTTCAGCACGGCGTAGCACAGCACAGCCCTCGGCATGGTACATCAAGATCGATACGCTCAGCATTGCATTTGCCCGTCGCCCAATCAGGTGTCTTTGAACCATTGCCATGCCTTACGTTTCTATATTCCTTTCCGGGTCCGTGGGTCGATCATGTCTTCCGCCATAATGCCAAGCGCGCGTTGGCGCGAGGTGATTGCAGCACGTTTTCACATGATGACGTTTTACTGGAAGAGACTTTGGCTGCGACGGAGGTTTCCCTCCGCGGCGTCGGGCACGACGTGAACGCCCTTCGGGCCTCGTGGGCTGCTCGTTTGCACGAGCTTGCTGGGCAAGCCACGGCGCGGTCTTTGCGCGCCCGTGGCCACGGGAAGACTGACAGGGACGCCACTGCTTCAGGGTAAACCTCGAGAAGAATGAGCAAGTTGCTCTGGTTCCCTGGCGTTGCCCTCCGACGATAGCCACGTCGCGAGGGGAGTGGCAAATCGTGTGTGTTTACTTTTTCAGCCATTGCCACCTGACGAGCCGAGCCGAATCAACTGTTCTGTCCGGTGCTTGGCCACGTGCCGAAGCCCATCGCATCGCGGGGGCACGCGCTGCACTTGCACATTGCAGGGCCATATTTTTTTTTTGTCTGCGCGACCGAAGCTTTGCCGCGTGGCAAGGTCAATGGAATCATACACCTTAGGCGATGGTTAAGAAAACCAAAGTTTTCGGCCAGAGTCTCGATTATTCTTCATGTTTCCATGTACATCCTAAGATTTCGATGGAAATTCTGGGCTTCTACTCAAGTTCTGAGACTATGAGTTTCTTAACCCATGATTTCTTAAGCATTTCGCAGGGTGTATCCATTTTCCTTCGGCAAATCCCGCCACCGAGTGTACACACGGCGCTATGGGCAAGGATAGGTCTGAACAGGGACGGGCGGTGAAGTCGGGCTCGTCTTAGCGGCGCGGTGGGCGGAGGTCGAGCTCACGCCCCGCTGCAGGCAGGTTCCACGTGCGGCCTGAACTGAGGCGTGTCGCGTACTCAACTTCATGGAGGAGGAGGAGGAGAGAAAGGAGGAGGAGGAGGAGAGGAGGAGGAGGAGGAGGAGGAGGAGGAGGAGAAAAAGGAGAAGGAAGAGGAGGAGAGAAAAGGAAAGGGACAAGGAGGAGGAGGAGGAGGCGCGTCATGGAGGAGGAGGAGGAGGAGAAAAAGGAGCGGGACAACATGAGAACAAGGACGAGAAGGCCTCGCAGAGGCTCGCGCGGGGTCTCCTGAAGCTCTTCCGGGGGCGGCCTGAAACTCTGGGGGGGTGGGGGGGCAGTACATGATGAAATGCAGCACATGAAATGAGGCGGAGATGCTGGATTCCATCTCCAGTCGAGGAGTGTCACAAAGAAGAGAGGCTGCCGCAAAACATCGGGAACGGGAAAACATCATGCAGGAGCGTCCCAGGCGCAAACTTGACTAATTCATCTGTGCGTACTATTTGAAGTGGAGGGTCGGAGGGGCGGGCCGGCGGCTCGGGGGAGCGCACGGGTGTTCAAGAAACAAGGCGTAGTACACCTTAGGCGATGCTTAAGAAAACCTATTTTTTGGGCCAGAGTCTCGATTATTCTTAACTTTTAATGTAAATCCTAAGATTTGAGTGGAAATGTTGGGTTTTTATTCAAGTTCTGAGACTATGAATTTCTTAACCCATGATTTCTAAAGCATTTCGCAGGGCGTAGTACAGAGCGGCCCGAGCCGCACCGAGACCAGCCTGGGGGAGCCTCTTTGCGGCAGAAGGCGTGAGCCCGAAAATGTTGGCACGGAGGGTGCACGGGGCGCGTCGCGCTCTCCTTGCCCTCGTCCTCGGTCGTTCGGGCCGGGCGAAAGGGGGGGATTGGGAAAGGGAGGGTTCCCAGACCTCCTCGCGCTGCGAACAAAATCACGACGGGAGGTTTTTCGCTGTTTTCGGCCTCCGGGGGCCCTTCGTGGGCCTCGGGACCGTCAAAAAACGACTCAGGACGAAAAACCGGTCCCGGGGAAAGGGTCCAGACCTCTGAGGGTCGACGTCGTGAAAAAATCACGACGTCGGGGGTCTGGGTTGCGAAGTCTGCTGCAGCTGGTTTCGGCCCCACCGAGGAGCCCCTTCCTCAACACATGGCCGCCTCCTGGCGCCGGGAGGCGCCGGGAAAATCAGCTGCGTGAGCTGATTCTCAACCCCCCCCTTCGCTATCCTTTCCTTTCGCCCGGCCCGAGTCGTGCCCGCTCTCGTCGCTTTCGTTATCGTGGTCGTCGTTGTCGGGGTCGGGATCGATTTCGGGGTCGTCGCAGTTGCAGCCGTGGTTGTTGTAGTCGCCCTCGTCGTCGTCGTCGCCGTTGTCGTCTGGATTCGACTCTCTTGGGGGGGGGAGCACAGGGTTGCGGGGTCGCGAGGTTGCGGGATTCGACTTCTCTGAGGGGGGTGAGAGGACGTGAGAGGACACAGGGTTGCGGGGTCGCGGGGTTGCGGGATTCTACGCTCTGAGGAGGGGGTGAGAGGACACAGGGTTCCGGGGTCGCGGGGCTGCGGGATTCTATTCTCTGGGGGAGGGGGGTGAGAGGACACAGGCTTGCGGGGTCGCGGGGTTGCGGGATTCTATCCCTTGAGGGGAGGGGGGGGGACACAGGGTTGCGGGGTCGCGGGGTTGCGGGATTCGATTCCCTTGGGGAGGGTGAGAGGACACAGGGTTGCGGGGTCGCTGGGCTGCGGGATCCGAGCCTCTAAGTAAGAGGACACAGGGTTGCGAGGTCGCGGGGTTGCAGGATTCTGCGCCTTGAGGGGGGGTCAGAGGACACAGGGTTGCGGGGTCGCGGGGTTGCGGGATTCTACCCTCTGAGGGGAGGGGTGAGATGACACCGGGTTGCGGGGTCGCGGGGCTGCGCGATTCGACTCCCTGGGGGAAGGGTGACCTCACGGGGTTGCGGGGTCGCGGGGTTGCGGGATTCGACTCCTCTGAGGGCGAACTCCAGAGCACAGGGTTGCGGAACAAAAAAAAAAACCGCAACCGCCCAGTCTCAGATGCGCAGACTCGTTGGGGTCGAGGCTGCTCCTGCCGTCGGGGGTCTGGGGCGCTCGTTTTCGTGATTTCGTGGTTCGTACGCCGCGGTTTTTTTTGTTATTTCGTTACTTCGTTATTTCGTCGTTTCGTTATTTCGTCATTTCGATATTTCGTTATTCGAGGTTGTTCCTGACTTCGGGTCTGGGGGGCTCGCCCTCGTTGCTTCGTCGTCTGTGCGCCCCGCCGCGACGGCGGCGCGCAGCCATTCTCGCCACCTGCGGCCACCCGTTGCCCCCCGCCCGTCTGGGGCGCGGCGCCCACCCGCCGGCTCGCCTCCACGCTCGGCGGTGCACCGGCTCCGTGGAGGGTCGGGCCGGGCGAAAGGGGGGGATTGGGGAAGGGGGGGGTCTCCAGACCTCCTCGCGCTGCGACAAAAATCACGACGGGAGGTTTTTCGCTATTTTCGGCCGCCGGGGGCCCTTCCTGGGCCTCGGGACCGTCAAAAAACGACTCAGGACGAAAAACCGGTCCCGGGGAAAGGGTCCAGACCTCTGAGGGTCGACGTCGTGAAAAAATCACGACGTCGGCGGTCTGGGTTACGAAGTCTGCTGCATGCAGCTGGTTTCGGCCCCAACGAGGGGCCCCTTCCTCAACACATGGCCGCCTCCGGCGCCGGGAGGCGCCGGGAAAATCAGCTGCGTGAGCTGATTCTCACCCCCCCCCCTTCGCTATCCTTTCCTTTCGCCCGGCCCGAGAGGACGATCGGTGGAGGGGAAGCACGCTGCCAGATCATCTCCAGATGTCTAAAACATGTGCTACACATGGTCCAAACATGTAAAAGGCATGTCAAAAACCTGCTCAGGACATTCTTCCGATCGGTGGAGGGGAAGCACGCTGCCAGATCATCTCCAGATGTCTAAAGCATGTATCACACATGGTCAAAGCATGTAAAAAGGCATGTTCAGAACCTGTTTAGAACATTCTTCCGACATTTGAAACACGTTGTAAATTCAATGATCGGACTGTCAGATGTCCATTGTCGTGGCATCCACAAGCAAGGCTGTCGGCGCACCACGCGGACGGCGACTCCATGTTGGGGTCGCTCGCCAGTTCGCAGACCCTCTTCGGCTCCGCCCCCTCCCCTGGAAGTATCCTGGCACCTTTGGGGGGCTTCCTGAGGGGTTCTTTGGGCCTCTTGGGGCATCTGGGAAGCTTGTGCTGCTGAGCCTCAGCGGTGCGTCGGAGGAGAACACGCATCATCGACCCCCCCTAGGTTTCCACAGGTGCTCGGCTTCTCGTAGGCATCCTGGAGGGTCAGCTCAGCTCCGCCCCCTCCCCCTCCCCGACTCCAGATCCGCCCTACTTTGGCTTTTTGTTCCAACTCAAAATTGCGTCGGAAATTCACCTGTAAGAGGCCGAAGAAGTAGGGCGGAAATTTCTGCACCCAACATAACGTGGGGCGGAAATCCACAGAAGCAGGGCGGAAACAGCAACAGAACAGCAGGGCGGAAACTGGCGTCCGCGGGGCTTGAAAAGTAGGGCGGAACTTCCGGGCCCTGCCTGCGAACTTCTCGAAAGTAGGGCGGATCCAGAGTCGGGGCTGGGCGCCGCCCGCCGCCGCCCGCCGCCGGCCGCTCTGCCCCGCTGGCCGCTCTGCCCCCTGGCCGGCCCCCCGCCCGCCGCCGGAGCCGGAGCCCCTGCCGGCGCCGCCGCGCCGCCGCCTCCGCCTCGCCGCGCTGCCCTGCCCCTGCCACTGCCTCGTGAACTTGGCTGCCTCGGCACGCCCGTCTTCATGCGCGGCACGTGCCGTGGTCAAGACGTCCACGTCTTGGCGCTGGCGTCGAGCTTCTCGTGAGCGTCGTCGTCGTCGTCCTCCTCCCACGCATCGGCGTAATCATCGACGCCCTCGCCTCCACTTGCAACCCCCAAGCCGGAACGAACCCTACCCTACTACCGCAATGAAGACGTAGCCTAAATTAGGTTGCCGTCCACACGTTGCGTGTTGGCTCCACGTATTGGGCCACGTTTCGGCGAGTGCACCGCGTCGGACCTGCGTTTTCAGCCTGCGTGTTGAGCTCCGTGTCAGTACGACACGTGTTGCGTGTTGCGTATCGGGGCAGCTGAGCTCGTGGGGGACCTGTGCTCAAGCAGCGGCGAAGCGTCCCGGCGTGCCTATAGTCCTGCCGAGCAATGTTCTAAGAGCCTGTTTGTGGTTCCCGCGAGCTGCTCTTAGAACATTTCTGGCTGGGACTGTCTTGGTTTATCGCATCGGGCCTATGTTCTGAGAACACTGTTTTTGTTCTAAGAACTTTTGTGGGTTCTAAGAACATTTCGTGGCAGGACAATAGGAATGCCGGGACGGTCGATCCCTGCTCAATGTGCCTTCCCGTCTTTCTCATTTTCGGCTCCCAGGGTGTCTTTGGGTGCCTCGATTAGCCCAACGGTACTTCCGTCGGGCGTAACTCCTGAGCGCGCGTGTGGCTTTCTGCCCCAGCTGCGTGCGACCGAAGGGAGAGTGTGTGCGTGTGCGCGCGTGCGCGCGTGTGTGTGTGTGTGTGTGTGTGTGTGTGTGGGTGTGTATGTGAGTGTCTGTGTCTGTGTCTGTGTATGTGTATGTGTGTGTGTGTGTGTGCGCCCGCAATCTCTTTACATGGTTTTTGGCAGGTATGGTGGGCTTGCGTACAGTGGGCAATCTTATGGCCACACTGTTTCAAACTGCCCCCTACTTCCTTTTTGTTCATGCCTCCCGTGCGAGGGCTACGTATTAGCCTTCAAGCGGGGCACCAGGCTGGCGTCCATTCTGTTTCTCGCGCCCCTGCCATCTTGGTATGTAAGTTGCCCCTGCACGGGGCCATGGGAAGGGTCGACACGGGCACGAAGGCGCAAGCCTGGAGGGAGGAGGCGATGGAGCAGCAGCAGGTGTAGGAGTGGGGGCAGGAGGACAAGGAAGGGCGCGCCTCCTGCGTAGAAGCGGCCCGCCTGCCTCGTGCGTCGCGGGTCCCAGACGCCGACGCGTCGAGCATGCACGCACAGCGCAGTGGACAAACCTCCGTCGAGGCTCCCTCCGCAGCCCTTTTGGCCGGAGGTCTCGTTTATGGGAATCGGGCCGAGCGGAAGACGCCCTCCGAGATCGGGATGGGCTGGGCTCGGCTGGACCTGCGGCGCTCGGCGGGGCTGCGCTCCCGGACGGCCGTGCGGGAGGCGGGCTTCGACGACGTGGCGGCTCCGGAGCGAGGCCCAGCCCGGGCCGGTGACGTCGGGAGGCCGTCGGGTCCGTCGGCGCTGCCCGCCGGGGGCCTGCCGAGCACGAGCGGCCGTGGCGCCGGCATTATGCGGTATCGCGCCCCCCCGGCGGATGGGCCGCATGGCGCCTCGAGGCACTGGAGGGCACCAACTATACACCAACACCGATCCTGGCCCAGGATCACCCTGGGCCCATGATCGGTGTATATGCCTTCTTGCCCAAGGCGGGAGGGCGTATACACCGATCCTGGGCCCAGGGTGATCCTGGCCAGGATCGGTGTTGGTGTATAGTTGGTGCCTTCCTAAGGCACGACGTGCTGATGGCCATCAGAGACATACTGAGCAGCTACGCGCTCGGCTCGGTGATGCGCGCGAGCTCGGCCTCGCACTTCATCGGCGTCTTCATGGATCAGGGGTCTCCGCTGGGCGTCGGCATCCTGGAGGGCAAGGACCTGCCGTGCATTCCCGAGGATCAGCCCCTGGCCTGGTGCGCGCGAGAGAGCATCCGCTCCGAGAGGGACTGCTGGAAGGAGGCCATGAAGATAGTGCGAATGCTGGTCCCCGGCGAGACGGTGGCCGTCGACCTGAACTGCCCGCGGCAAAAGCGGAGGCTCAGCGGCACGCTGCTGCTCTCCCACGCGAAGACAGTGTTGTTCCCGCGGAGGGCTGCGGACATCAAGATGAAGCGTGTCGTGAAGCGCATGGTTCCCGTTGGCCGTGTCCCGAGCGATCGCTGGATGGAGGACGGCCCAAGTCTATTGGGATTGGGCATATCCCACGGTCCCCAGGTGCATCGGCGAGGTTGCCATGAGTAGATCGCGATAATGCGATAGCAGATTCTCGTTGTCCTGAGGCCATTCCGTAGGAGTCCAGAGAAAATAATCTGTGGGATGTTCTGGTGGTTGTCGGGGTGGGAAGATGGGAGAGGAGAGAGGTATGCCTCTCCTCTGTCACCTTCCCATGGCCGAATTTCCAAGCATCCAGATCAGTGCTCTTAGGCGCCCTTCCCAGCCTATCCATAGTCTACCCGCGTGCACCCGTTCGCGAGATGAGTAGCATGACGGTGCCCGTATTGCGAAGGCCTGACGGCCGGTGCCGCCGACCCTGTTCGCAATGCGCAGCAAGAGGCACGGGCTGTGGGATGGTTTTGGGGAACGGGGAGAAGGACGAGAAGGTGGGGGAGGGAGGTGTCGTATCTGACCCGGGACTTCCCCGGGACTCCCCCGGGACCCCCCCCGGGACCCCCTCTCCCTCCCCCGGCGGGGAAGGGAAAGGGAAGGGGCTTCCCTTCGACTCAATTACGACGTTGCTCAAGGTCGGTACGGGGGGGGGCGTCGTATCTGACCTGGGGGGGGGTCGCTACCGCCCCCCGCTACCCCCCCCTCGCCTCCCGGCGGGGGAGGGATCAAAGGGAAGGGGCTTCCCTTCGACTCAATTACGAGGTTGCTCAAGGTCGGCTTGGCTGGAGCCCAGGGGAAGAGGAGTCCCAGGGGGGGGCGTCGTATCTGACCCGGGGGGGGGGTCGCTACCCCCCCCCCCCCTCCCGGCGGGGGAGGGATCAAAGGGAAGGGGCTTCCCTTCGACTCAATTACGAGGTTGCTCAAGGTCGGCTTGGCTGGAGCCCAGGGGAAGAGGAGTCCCAGGGGGGGGCGTCGTATCTGACCCGGGGGGGGGGTCGCTACCCCCCCCCCCCTCCCGGCGGGGGAGGGATCAAAGGGAAGGGGCTTCCCTTCGACTCAATTACGAGGTTGCTCAAGGTCGGCTTGGCTGGTTGCTCAAGGTCGGCTTGGCTGGAGCCCAGGGGAAGAGGAGTCCCAGGGGGGGGCGTCGTATCTGACCCGGGGGGGGGGTCGCTACCCCCCCCCCCCTCCCGGCGGGGGAGGGATCAAAGGGAAGGGGCTTCCCTTCGACTCAATTACGAGGTTGCTCAAGGTCGGCGTGGCTGGAGCCCAGGGGAAGAGGAGTCCCAGGGAAAGGGAAGGACAGAGACGACGAGTACAAAGAATGACGGAGATGACGGCTCGAACGGAAAAGCCCCTCACACACGCCGACAGGGTCGGCGGATCCATAGTCTACCCGCGTGCACCCGTTCGCGAGATGAGTAGCATGACGGTGCCCGTATTCCTGAACAGAGCCTCCCTGACCAGCAGCGCGACGCTGAAAAGCGAGTAGCACCACAGGTCTGCCCTGCTGACGCTCAAGGTCGGCGCCTCTGCATGTTTCTCCGCTCTTCTGGCGTCTTGGCCGGCAGCGCTGCCCGAGGCGTCGCGTACGCTGCTGTCCTTTTGAGCCTCCGCTCCCCGCCTCTGCGCCCCCCCCGGGGAGCCCAGGAGCCCAGGAACCAGGTTCCGAGAACTCTGCGACTCGCGAAGCCTCCGTTTCTTCTCTCCGCGTTGGCAGTGTGATGTTTTTTTTTTTTTTGTTCAGCGGCGTGGTCACGGTGACATGAGCTCATCTGTGGCCAGCAGGCATCGTGATGGCGTTGACCCGGGGACCCGCTGGTGTATGGAGAGCGACTGGCAGGCGAGTGGTTGGGGGTGGAGGGTTGAATTTTTCAGTGGGTAGGACAGCTGTCCCGCAGATCGCTGTAGCTAGTCTGTTAAGTATAGCGTGTCTGCTATCTCTTGCCAAATGTCTGGCCATCCTCGCTTGTAGTTCGGAGAAGTTAGGCGATGTCAGCGAGGCGGGGTCTCGCATGCCAGCGCCAGACGGAAACTCCTTGACTAGCAGTGCGACGCCAAGAAGCATGCAGCAGCGCGACGCTCATAGGCATGCAGTATTGCAGGTCCGCCTTGCCAGCGCTCAAGCTCCGCGCCCCCGCATTGGCTCCGCTATTCTGGCGTAATTGGCTGGCAGCGCTGCCCGTAGCAGTTCGCGGGGGCGCCGCGCACAGTTCGTTGCCTGTTGTCTGCTTCGCTTCCTCCCGTGCCTCGCCCTCGCCCCGCCCCCCGTTCGTTGCAAACTCACGGCGGGCGCGCGGCTCAACGCCTCCGCGCGCCAAGGGACCAGTTGGTTCTCGGAGCACACGGGGCGCGTCTCCAGGGACAGTGTCCACAGTTATATCGTAAGGCACCCTGAAGGGCTGGCCAATTAGTTGTTGTGAGGGCTTAACGGCCTGTGCTGCCGACCCAGAAGGACGACGACGACGACCACGACGACAACGACAACGACGAGCTGAGGACCCTGCCACAGGCTGGGGACGGGCGATGGAGGAAGGAGGAGGAGGCGGAGGAAGAGGCGGAGGAGGAGGAGGTGGAGAGGAGGAGGGGAGAATGGGGGGGAGGAGGAGGATGAGGAGGAGGAGGAGGAGGAGGAGGAGGAGGAGGAGGAGGAGGAGGAGGAGGAGGCGGAGCACGACGGGGTTTCACGAGAGCTGGGGACAGCAGACAAGTCCCGAAAGGAGTATGTGCGACGTATTACGCTGCGATGCTTGTGTGGCCGATGCCGCGCAGAACGTACACGCCCCTCCCGAAGCGCGGGAGGGCCGCAATCATCGCATGCCCACCCGCTGATCGTGTGGGCGCGCATTGTGCCGCTCACGGCAGCTCTTGCCCCGCCGTGGCAGCTCCATCGGTTTTCCGATGCCCGATGCCTTTGAGGTTGCGGGAGGGTAAGGCCCCGAGAAAAAAATGAGCCCAAATGGGCGGCAGAGAGGGGAGCGAACGAGAGAATGAGAGAGAGAGAGAGAAAACAACATATATATAGAGAGAGAGAGAGAGAGAGAGAGAGAGAGAGAGAGAGAGAGAGAGAACGAGAGAGAGAGAGAGGGATAGGGGCACTCCCCCAACACTTGACCCAGCCTTCGTGACGCCTCACGATCTGCTGCGCCCGAACTCTCACGTGTAGCAAGAGCTGGGGCCAGAGGAAGACCCCGAAGGGGGTACCTGAGTCACACTGCGGTGCGATGCTTTCGTGGCCGATGCCGCGCAGCACGTGCACGCCCCTCCCGAAGCGCGGGAGGTGCGCAGCCATCGCACGCCCACCCGTGGATCGGGTGGGCGCGCACCGTGCTGCGCACGGCGGCCACGGGCTCATCCACCCCGCACACCCCGCGGGTTTTGGACCTCCCCGCGGGCCTCCCTTGAACGAAGGATTGCAAAACAAAAAACCCTTCGTGTTTTTTTTTTCAATCCTTCGTGTTTTTTTTTTGCAATCCTTCGTTTGTTTTTTTTGCAATCCTTCGGTTTTTTTTTTTGCAAGACCTCCTCTCTCCTCTCGCGGCCGGCCCCCTCGCGCGGGCCGTCGCCCGCCCGGCGCTCCTGCTGCTGACCACCTGGTCGGTCTGGCGCACCCTCGCTGCCTCAGCCTGGGACGGTGATACCCTCCATCTCCTCCCAAGCCCGCACCTCGGCCCTAGGCCAAAAGGGTCGGGGAGGAGGAGGAGGAGGAGGAGGAGGAGGAGGAGGAGGAGGAGGAGGAGGAGGAGGAGGAGCTGCCTCAGCCTGGGACAGCGATACTACCCCATATCTCCTCCCAAGCCCGCACCTCGGCCCTGGGCCAAAGGGGCTCGCGCCCCCTCTCCATCTCCTCGCCGGCACGGGCGTCGGTCCGCGTGCCCAGTCACCCGACGACTTCTTGCGCGCCTCGCGCCTCGCTCCAGCCAGCCTCCCAGCCTCTTGGGTGGCCACCGCTCCTCACACCATTGCCTCTCTTGGGGTCCTCGGTCTCCCGCGCCGGGCGTGGCCACCGCTCCTCACACCATCGCCTCTCTTGGGGTCCGCAGCCTCCCGCCGGGCCCGCCCTGGGCTCGCCCCTCTTGCGGGCACTCTCCCTCGCCGCATCGCAGCCCACGCGGAGGGTCGACGCCGACGCGCCATCGCTGTCGGCACCCCTCGGGCCGTCTCGTTGGTCTCCCACATGTACCATCGGACTGCACCGCTGTTCCACCTTCCCCCCCCCTCTGCACTACCTCGGTGTCCCCGCAGAGGTGGTGCAGCGCCGTGGCCCCTCCGATCCTCGGCGCATGGGAGCCGAGCTCCGATGCCGGGCACCGCTCAGCCACCGCCGTCCTCTGCAACTCCACCTGGATCCCCTGCCTCGCGACCCAGCTTCCGTTCGACCACCGCGCCAGCGGGAGGTGAGCCTCCGTGCCTCCCCACAGCCCCGCCGGGAAGCGCCTCTGTTGTTGTTCGGCAGCCCACACTGGGCTGATCTCACGTCCTGCCCAGCAGTGGTCCCTGGCCATCCCGGCGCCAACGTGATCAGTCCTGCTCGCCTTGGACTGCAGGACTTCCTCGTCGGCCCGGGCGAGGTGGGGCACCTGTCCGCCCTTCGCTGTTACCGCCACCGTCCAGGCCTGTCGGCACCTGCTTGTGGTCCCAGAAGCCCGCGTGGGCGTACTCCCCAATCCGCGTCCGGAAGAAGAAAGCTTTGAGGATCAGGTAGTAGACGCTGCAATGTCCGGGTCCGCTTCTGGCCTCGGCCTCCTCCTGAAGTTCAAGAGCATCCAGATGGTGACTGGCAGGCAGCCTACGCGCTCTGGAGCCCTGCAGTCTCTCGATCCCGATCAGCGCCATCCACAGCCTTGACTTCCCCAGCAGCTGGTCTTGCTCCCCGAGCCACACATGCTGGGCCCTGACTCCCAGCAACTTCGTGCGGATCGTGCCGTGCGCGCGGTGGAGGACATCCCAGAGATGCGCCACGAAGAGCAGCAGCTCTTCCTCCTCCTCCTCCTCCTCCTCCTCCGCCTCCTCCTCCTCCTCTTCCTCCTTGCGTTCCTTCTCCCTGGTTTGGCCGTCCAAGATGCGGCTCCTCCCGCGGATACCACTAAAA